GTATTGTCCACAGAGGCCACCTTGAAATGATGCTAAAAGGAAAGAATGAATCTTTCCTCCTCTAGAAAAGCTCAAGCCTGTTACCAGCTGAGCACTGCTGAGCACTGTGATGGGCAGATACAGCTGGACAGGAGCAGTGTGATACATCCAGCTCAAAACCATGTTAGTGAAGCCCCTTCAGTGCCTGCAGCCTTAAGGGAGGGAATTGTACAGAAGTAAGGTTTGAGTGCTCTGGTGAAGCCACCATATCTTCACACCCTCAATCATTTCAGTGTAACTCTTTGGAAAGTTTAAAATCCCAAGTTCCAAGTTTAAGTGCAAAGTACACAACATCCTCTTCATGGACACCATATGGCTTACATAACATCAGGGAGAAAGGCTGTATTTGCAACACCTTCCCACACTGAAATAACTAGCCTGAGAATGTCTCTTTAAGTCAGCACCAACACAGTAGCACTATGGGTTGTTAGAGCTGGAATTATCTCTGCGTATCCTATTGTTTTCTTTTTTATTTCATGACACAGCGTACTCTTAGAACAAAGTTGTGAGGTTGCCTTGGAGATGGAGAGCCTAACTACAAGGCTATCTGTCATACTGAACTATTTGCATTAGGCGATCTAGCTGTGAATACTTTCAACAAACAATTGAGTGAAGTGACAAAAAGCTTATGAAACCGTCACAGGGGAGTTGCATAAACCGGGGTCAGATGTTCAGTTTGAGACTGTTACAGGACTTTTGCAGCTGGCTGATGAGAGGAAATGGGAGGTCATCTGGTTTGTAGTTGTTATAACAACAACCTGTTATGTTTCTCAGGCTGCAAAGATGCCCATAGTCTTTTGGCAGGATGGATCAAGAGGATGATTTCCTCTTTTCTGCGAATAATGTTTGAAAATCACAAATGTTTTTCAGATAGTTGAATTTGGGAATTCTCTTGGAAGCAGCAAAATCCTGCCAACTGCAAATACACCACGGTGCAGCCTCTGAGTGGATCAGCAGGAGATTTTGGTAATGCTCCACATATTTAGCTGATATGTTAATGTATGTGGCAGAGGAGGACTGAGATAACCTACAGGTTTGCTGCAACATTCAGCTGACAAAAAAAAAAAAAAAAAGAGAGAGAGAGAGAGAGACCCAACTGCGTATTGTCTTTACTTCCAGTGTTTAGTTTATACCTTCCCAGGGAAAACTGGCAAGTGACAGGCTATGAATAATGTACCCATAGGGAAAATTTGTTTCTAAACACAAATAGTGTCTGGCTTATGTCTGGGTGGGTGTGCTGGCAATTTCATAACAATTTCATTCTACTGAGGCAACCACATAAAAGAATTGCTTTGGAGGAATTCAAGGTGAGAATATCTTTATTCTGTGTCTACATCACCAACACCCTTCGTGCAGTAGAAGTGCAGAGATTAACATTTGTCCCCCATCCAGAGATTAACATTTGTCCCTTCCCAGAGAGGAACCCTCTGAGCATGAGCTCCTTGCAAAATCCAACTAGGGCAATGCAGTCCTTTTCACTTCTAGCTGCTTCAGTTAGGCAGGAGAACTGGCAGCTCAACGGATCTCTAGGTTTTTCATCATAATGACAGGACACAGAAAAAGGGTGGGCTTAAGCAAAAGTATGTTGTAGTTTAGAAGACGATGCTACTCGAGTAAGAGCTGCAAACAAGGGAAAAACAAACATTTGCCTTCAGTTTTGAGTGTCACAAAATGGAGGTCACCAAAGCAAGGAATTCTGAAGGTGCAGTCCTCAACAGAAAAGGCAAGTCTAATCACATCACAGCAGAATTTGCGTACTGTTTTTGCACATATCTAGGTCTCTGTGACAGGTACCCACAGCGATTGATATCTGGTAATGTAGCTAGCAGAACCAACAGAATTTTATATGGCAAATGGCCATTATTTGTAAGCAGGGTAATCACATTTATAACTCCCTTTCTTTCCCTTCTCTCCCCACTTTTTCAGCATTGTGACAGGAACGTTTGCCCATCAGCACTGTCACCAGGATGTGGTGACATCTGCTATAGGACAGGAAAGCCTCCTGTTGTCATTGTGATAAGAAGGTTTGTCCACCAGCACTATGAAAGCCCAGGCACTGGGTCACTCAGGTTGTACACATGGTGGTACTATGGAACACGGAAGCATAATGGCACACGAGATATTACCATATAATCAAGCAGCTGCTGCTTGATGGCAAAACCCCATGATCCTCTAGCGGTCAGGGACATCTCCATCATCACCACCTTCCTCCAAGGACTGAGTTACTCATGCTTTTATGTGTTTTCCAAGTCTAGATCATGATTATTTTACCATGCACTAATTATTTAGAAATCAACTCAATCTGCAGAGGGCTCCTGTGACTAAAAGTTCTAGGTGACTAAAAATTCTTGAGAAAACTAATAGATTGAGGTTGGATATTAGGAAATACTAATCCAGAAGAGTGGTCAGGCACTGGAACAGGCTGCCCAAGGAGGTGGTGGAGTCACCAGCCCTGGAGGTGTTCAAGGAACATTTAGATTTTGTACTGAGGGACATAATTTAGTGGGAAATATTGCTGATAGGTGGGCAGCTGGACTGGATGATCTTAGAGATTTTTTCCAACCTTGGTGATTCTATAATTCTATAACTAGAAGGGTATGCTAATTACAAAAAATTCTGTGTAACAATAAGCTACTCTGACTATTAAAAATTCTCGATAACAGTAAGCTATGCTGTATTTTAGATAGATAGATGATAGATAGATAGATAGATAGATAGATAGATAGATAGATAGATAGATAGATAATAAAGCTCTAAATACAAGCACAACCTTTGTGGCCAGTCCTTATCCTATGCAGAATCCATTTTATCTACAAAAACTCTTCACACAGCATTGAGTGAAACTCTCATCTGACAAATAACCATCCTGAGAAGTTTGTGATGCTCTTCAGTATGTACAGAGCTCAGTACCAATTGGAAAAACAGTGTCAAATGCATTTTTTTCCTTCACTCTCTTGGTCCTCCCTAATGCTGGAGGTTTGAGGTAATGGTTCTCAGCCAAAGAGCTAATCTGATCTATCTGCTATTAACTCTGTATGAAAGAGGCTGAGAATGGTGTTTGTGTCTGCATGTGAGAGAGGCAAAATATTATATTATATATGGAAAACCCTCATTCGTGCTGATGTAAATCAGAAATAATTCTGTCTAAATTGGGTACCACTGAGATGACTATCTGGTCTTGAGAATTCCCAAAGTACAGAATGTTTTATGCTGTGGTGTAGGTAGGGCCAAAAAAACAGCAAGGCTCAGATAGTTAGAGAAATGCTTTCTTAACAATTCCCACCAAAATGTTCTGTTAAAAAGCAGTTAAGGTTGCTCTGGGGCAAAACACACACCCACACAAGAAATGACAGGTTAGGTGAACCTTCACGCCTCATATTAACCACTCCCAGTGACAGACTCCAAACCCCAACAAGAAGCTTCCCTTGTTCTGCGGGATAAAGAAACAAATGAAATACCCATCCCTCCTACACGCTTCAGTGCAAAACCCTCTGGCTTCTGCAACTCTCACATTAGTGGCTGGTGCATGCATACTGGCCTTGGCAGTTCAGGGAGAAAAATGAATGTTAAGAAATTCCCCTTGAGCGTGAACTCTGCTGGTACTGCTGGTCTCAGGGGCATTCTTTGGCTTTGCCAGGCTCTTTTCTCTGTGGCTGATCCACCGCTCCACTGAGGAGACCCATTCCCCAGGGCAGAGATAAAGAATCATCTGTTCCTTTGTATTAGGTTAAAGGATGAGATACTTTGTACGTTAACAATGAAGTAAATCTGGTTGCCTTTCTGCAAACCGTAGTTACATTTGCACCAGCTATTTGTATCTGGGCTTCTTCTGGATTATTTATTCCTAGCTGGGGCAGGAGAAATCTCATGTTAAAGGGGTTTACACAGAAGATGTGTACGCCTTTGCTCCTGTATGTGTTGGTGGTCTTCCATCTATCTTCCCGCATAGCTTTATTCCTCCCTGCATCTAGCTGCTCCTTACATCTTCTCCATAGAGTCATAGTGGCCAATGCTGTCCAGGTTTCATCTCATTTTTCAAATGCTAATACGGAGTTAGTCCTGCCTTTTGTATCTAGGTGCTCTAGGAAAAATGTCTTGGTATCACCAGCAGACTATCCACAGCCTCTGTGCCAGA